TCTGCCTCAGCCTCCCAGAGTGCTGGGATTAAGGCATGTGCTGCCATGCCTGGCTCATTTTAATTTTTAAAAAGAAACATGCAATAAAACTCTTACTATGTTGGCAGTTTTAATAACTGACACTTGCTGAACATCTAAATATTCATGTTTTCATACCCACAGGGCATCTGAGGAGTAAACATTTAGGTAAAGACATAAGAACTAGTTGACAAAATGGTATTCCTTGAGGTCTTCAGTTTTCTCATTAAAAACAACAACAACAACAACAACATTCTAGCTTTTAAAAATAACATTTTAGAGATGAACTGTAACAGAGAAAAGCTGGACAAAGGCTAGATGACAGAATTACAATGAAGCACACACAGAAGCCAATATGAACATTGTTCACCCATATGCCACTGGGAAAGAAAACAAAGCAGAAGGTTGCTCCCACTGAAAACGCAAAGAAGTGCTTCACTGAGAGGTATTAAACAGGTCTCTTTCACATATGTATGAAGAACTCAAAGAAAGAAACTTAGGGGAGGCACCCTACTGACACCACACCTCTCTGCTGGGAGTGGCCGCCTGACCTTACATACAGCCACCAGAATCATGTAATTCCAACCGAAAACTTGGAGAGCCGGAACATATGTAACAGCTACAATGTGAGACAGTGAGATTTAACTTCGCCCACGTAGCCTGTGTAAAAGCTAAGGACTAGTAGGTGAAAACTGTAGAGAACCAGGTTTTTGATCAATTTGAGGTTTGATCAAAGGTGTAGTGGACTCTCGGAGGTGGTAGGGAGTTCCTTCTGCATATCTAAAAGTGTTATTTTTGTAGTTTAACTTCCTGGATAGGAATTTTTTTTAGGGAATTCAGCATTATTTGGGTGATGGAGTGAGATAATTTTAAGACACAGTTTAAGTCTAATCTGTTCAAATTAAACTATGTGGGCAGTAAATGAACTTGAGAGGAACAAATCTGTTAGTAATGAATCCTCAAGTCTTCTCACTTAGGTTTCCATTTCTAAAGACAGTATTTGCTTTTTTTTTACAATATGCCCTTTGGCTCACAGAAAGATACTTGCTTCAATTAAGTCTTGCCTACGAAGACAAACTGGAAATTTTCTTCTCTAAATTTACTAAATTACTGAGTCAAAAAAAGGATTTTAATTCTGTAGTGGAGAAATGTTGAAGTAGGAAATACTTGTTATGCTCACTGAATTTAATCTGCATTATTTTTAGTTTAACTCAGGATGTGAGGGGCATAATGAGGTAATTAAGTGATGAGTTAACTATGTTATCATTTATAATGATATAACTTTTCCTTAAAATGCCAAGTTCTTGACTTGTTACATTAGCATTTACTTCACAAGCTGATAAAATGTTTTCTTAGATTAAAAAAAAACCAGCAGAGCAGGTTCCTAAATTTTAATCTTTAATTTCAAAATGATTATACATTTATCTCAGTCTGTTGAAAACTGCTTAAGATATCATATTTTTGGAGGCCACAGTATTTCTGTATTTATAAAGGGGAAAATGTCCATTTTCTTCAAGCTACTGACACTTATTTAAACTTACTATCTATAATAACTTTTTATTTTTCATCATGTTTTTTTCTTATAATTTTAAGAGTTCTCTGAAAAATTATCAACAAATTTTGATACATAGCTATAAATATACAGTATAAAATATGTATAATGATACATCTATTGGCTCTTGTCCTTACAGTAACTGTAAGCAATGAATCTGCATGTGCAAACCGAGGAACGGTTACCATATTTTCTCAAATCTAAGGTACAACTGGCTGAAAGAAGCACCTTTTTCTTATGCTTCATTACAAACAAAAATACTACAGCACATAATTGATATCAAGGTGCTTCTTGATTTCAGAAGCAATGCAATGGGAAAAAAATACGTATCTCAAAATCAAAGAAACGTGTCAGTCAAATTCTAAACAATTTTTCCATTGCTGTCTTTCACATAAGTAAATCATGATTTATTTAAGCAAAGACAACTTTACTTCCGTTGTACATAACAACACAGCTTCCTTTTCCTCTAAGGAACTTCATCTCTCCCACACATAGCAATGTATTACTCTAAAAAAAACAAAAACCAAAAACTATGATATTGGTTTTAGCCTTAAGGTATATGTCAGCCACCCCTGATTCCCAGATACAACAATGTTGTGCAGACTATCAGGTATATGAAAAAAAAAAAGCTGTCAGCTGTCCACAAGGAGTGCGTCCAGTCACATTTTCAGTCAGTCAGCGGAGGATTAAGTCATTATTTAGTCTTTCTGCAGAAAGAACATGACACAAGTATGAAAATCATCACCTGAAAGGAAATACCTGTTGTATATAGTATCCCTAAAATGTTGGGAATTCTTTTATTTCAATAAAACTAATGTGATCTTTTTAATCATAGCTGCTCACAAATAAGCAAAACCAAACTCACACAGAAGAATGATGCAAGCACGTTACTGTACTGAATTTCTACAGGGAAAATGCTGTGAATGAATAAAAACCAGATGCTCTGAAATAACTTATGTCCAGTTTCCTAGATTAGTAAGAGAAATACAGTGTGCACATAGGATCCATTACAAAACAAAACTCAAGCGCTTTTGGCAGTATATTCCTAGACCACTTTCTTCTGTTTCGTACATGTTGTTCACTTGATATCAGGCTCAGTCCTCAGAGACAATAATAACAAGCTATGTTTGTGTCCTCTTGAAATTCAAGGTAGAAAATGCATCTCCTCCCCATTAAAAACCTTCAGTTATCACAATCATGTTAAATTTGGGAAAGTCTATCACACTTTTATCAAATATGAACCTAAGTTTGATTATTTTAGAGACAGGGATTCAATACATTGCTCAGGCTGAACTGGAACTCTTAGGCCAAAGTGATCCTTCGGCTTTAGCCTCCCGAGTTGCTGAGACTATATGTTTATTCAGGCCACATGTTTATTTAACCCAACACATTAAAAAAAGAAAAGAATCTCACTATGAAATCCTTGGTAAATACGTGATGCATAGCAAAAAGAAATAAACAAGTCATACTATAATTAGAAGACATTAAAGTTTGAGCTAATTTTATCCTACCCAAAAACCATTTTCAACTAAACTGATCCTACTTTGTCTTTGCCCTGAATATGAATAAAGGAAAAAATGAAGGATTTACATTTTTATGATTAGCTATTCTGATGAGTATGCAATTCCTTTAATGTAGGGAAATGGATGAATGTACAGCACTTTCAAGGGGAAAGATACAGTATTATAAAGCTTAGTCCTCACAGTACCATTAGCCATAGGTAGTTTTGTACGATTAAACTTAATTCTTTCTGATCATTTGAATGGCATTATTTTGGATGAGATAACAACTCAAAGGTTTCACTGAAGTCATAAATGCAAGGGTTTCAGCTCACATCTGCAAGGCTTTTTAAAATTTCACAAGAAATTTTGCTGTTTCATTGTCTCTCAATAATTCTATAAAGCAATGGGCCTGCAAAGTTAAAGAGAGTTGCCTAATCACAGGAGCTATCGAAACTGTAATTTCAACTCAGATCTTCTGATTTTAAGTCCAATATTCTCTTTAAAATGTAAATAACCATTAGGAAAGAGCTCCACCAAAAAAGTCTATACTTTTTTATAGTAGGAAGTTGGTGTAATTGTCCTTTTTAAGGACAAAGTTTTTTGTTTTTTTTTTTAACAAAATCAAGAATGTTCAAACATTAAAATACAGACAGGAGTAAATACAACTTTTGCGAACTATATTAGAGCACAGTGTGTCTAAACAGAATTCGGTTCTTAACATTTTATTCAGAAAGAAGAAATAATGCTAATTCTTCAAATTGGCAATTTAATATTTCTGGGGTTAAAATACTAACATCATATGGTACAATAAGAGCAGATTTTGTTATTAAATAAAACATTTAAAAAATAGGATTATTTATAATGGGCACCCAGTGGGCATTTTGTTTTCCCAAATGCCTTCTCTGAAGGAAGAGTTAATCCGCTGGTTTACTCTAAGAGGAAGACCTTTGGGAGTAAGAAAGGCCTGAGATGATTCCTTCTGACACTTGGTAGCTTGCATACCCTAACTGGAAGAAAGAAAACTTTAAGTGAAAAAAGAAATGGCTTCAAGTTAGTAACTTCACACTGGATTCATTTGAACTGCAGTAGACTTAGGAGGCTGATGTATGTGGAAATTCAGAAATTCAGCTTTCACTTAAACCCACAATTCAGAATTTTTTTAAAAAATGGAACTTTAAAGAATGTCTCTCTAAGCCTGTCTCAGAAAAATAACCTGTCTCAGGAAAAAAGAAACTAAGTTTGATTTTTATAAACTAACAAATAGGAAAAGGTAATAATATGGCTAAATATGTCAGTATTTACAATAACAGGAGTTTTTAGAAAATGGCCAGGGTTTCAAAAAATTACATGTACGCACCCAACAATATTTTCTGAATGTATACTTTTAATGCACAAACTTATAAACACAAGTACAGAAAAACATCAGGATTTAGGTTCAAAAAACTAAAGAAGATATATTATCTGATACTGCATTTTAGGTACTTTATTAGAAATAAAAATGTTCTTCATAAAAACTGTGAAAGTTATTTCAATGCATTACTCATGAAACTAGTTCTTCACATTAAAAATCTTTAGAAGTATTTCAATTTTAAAGTTTAATAAGTACACAGTAAAACATTCAATTCTTCAAATCTAAGACGTTCATAAATAAAAAGCAATTAATTTTCTGAACTGAGATCTGATTTTATTTTATAGAGGAGCACAGACATTTTTCCATCAAATGCCAAGAACAATTTTTAAGTTTAAATACGTTTATATTGTAAACATACGCTCTTGACAATGTGGCTTTACTAGCAGTTTTAAGCCAAAGTGCTTTTGACGAGTGCTTTCTGAAAAGTCCACGATTAAAATATTTATGTTTTATAGTACATCCCTCTTCTCATACTATTTAGCCAGTGCGTTTAAAATTCAAATGAAGAAATGCTTACCTGAGAGTCAGTAAGTTCTCTGCCGCTTGTTAGACTCTTCTCTTGGGGAATCTGCGAGCATAACTTTAAGTCTGACCCCATTCAGAATCTTCCCATGCAAGGTTGCAATGGCATCATTGGCGCTCATTCTATCTGCAAACTTGGCATAACCCACGTTTTTTCCTGACACGAGGTACACTTCGATCAGGTTACCAAAACGACTGAAACACAGTAAAAAGGAAAATTAACTGATTCCCAGGAGGGTACTGAAATCCACGTAACTTGTATTTTGCATAAAGAGCTGATGCTACATTAAAATAGCGAACCGCTCCATGACCTAAAATAGAGAATACACAGGAATGGAAAAGAACACAGATTAAGGGTGTAAGGCCGTGTTATAACGTGAAGATGATATAATATAAAACTCTGATTATGACACAACTAGTGACAAAGAATTAAAGGTCTCAAGTTCTGTCACACGTGTGGGTCAGTAGTGTTCCTACAAGTCAAACTGCTGCTCAGTGCTCCAATACGGGGTCCATTCTCAACTCATTTTGCACCCTTCTCCCTACACCCGACAGTTATTTCGTGCCAGTCTTGCTCGTCAACAGCTCACTCGGCTGATTTCCTTCTTCTCACTCTCTTTCCTCGTTCAGATCCGAGTCACCCGCGCCCTACATGGCTTCACGTTCTTCACTAGGCTTCTGACCACTGCCTCGGTCCTTTCCCACCCATTCTCTGCCCTGTCTTCTTCGTGATCTTTCTGAAACAAAACACGATCATTTCCTCCTTACACATCCCCTCAGCATCTCCTCACAGCCTCCAGGGTAAGGACAAACTCCGAAAACAGCTCTGGGATCGGCCCTTGGCCTCTTCCCCTTCACATTCCCTCCTAATGTCTCACAGTCTGTGTTCTAATGGCTCCCTTTCATATTCTCTTGGGCAGGAAAAACCATCCACACCTGCAGCTTCCTCCTGTGCCAAAACAGGAGACCCTGCAGATCTCCTCATACATCTTGCTTCTTTCAAGAAGCCTCCTAGAGTTCCTACAGCAGGGGCCACTCTTGTGTCTGTCACACATTCCTTATCAGAGCACCAACATCACTCACTAAGTTGTAATTTCCCATTTGTCTGTTTCCTCTACAGAGTAGATCTAAGAGGACAAGAATTATATTATCTTGTTTTCAGGATATCATGTTTTGTTTACATAGCATTTCAGAATTTAAAGTGCCCAATTGGCACAGAGGTGCGTTTCAAGGAAAAATAAGATGAATTGATTAAATAAAGGTCAAAATACTGAACCATATGTTTGATGTTTTGTGCAGAATTTTCCTATTTGCTTAAGTCACTAATATTCTTAAAATGCAAACAAAAAAATGACCAAAAGGAAAAAAATCAAGGTAGGAGCTATACTAAAAACACAAACCTTTATTTATACTTATTAGACATTCTGCCCTCCAATCAAGTACAATGGACCCTTGAGTTATGACCAGTCTGACGTATGAACAACTTGGGTTACAACTGTAATTTTAGTTTTAACTTATAAAGAATTGAATTAAAACCTGAATGCTGGCCACTTGTGCTTACAGATGGTCTGATACAGATTTAACCCTTAAAAGAGCTCTGGAAGGAAAATTACAAATATCCTTTCCTGTGTGGGGTTAATTGACAAATTCTGGGCCAGGGTCTCTCTAAGGACACTGAGATCTGCCTGGAGAAAGTGTGGCCTAACATTATATAGGAAAGAGACTTGGAAGGCTGTGTAGAGGACTCTGAACCTTCAACTGACCAAGCTGAGTAAGAACCAGCCCTGGTATACTGAAAAATACGCTAAGAATTTTATGGCAAATAATGAATGACCTTGTATTCATCACCCACTTCTTCTTTTTTGTAACTTCTACTTTTATCACTCTTTTCTGTAACTTTCTGTAGCCCTAACTTTAAAACAGCTGTAGTTTTAGGACTCATGCTGAAAGGATATCTCCACATATTTTCTGTACTTTTTGGTTAGCTGCAGAAAGGCAGAAGTTCTCTCAAAAAGTGGTGTTGACATAGTTTAATATCTAGATAATGCTCAAATAATTAGAAAAAAATGGAAATAAGTTCAGCAAAATGAGTGTTAAGTATTAAGAACACAACGTCATGAATAACTTTTTTAGGAAAAAACTACATTTAAGATTCACAAGGTAAGATTTATGGATTACTGGGAAAAGAACAGTTAAAGAACACTCAACTTAGAATGCATACACTGGATCCACTATTGAAGTAAAAACCGTCCACTTACCAAATGGAAACATATTTACTCTAGGTTCATGTCCCAAAGGGTCTTGCCTCTTATTACTATAATAATCTTGTTCTGCGGATTCAGATGGTTTGTTTTTTGGGTTCAGCCAAGACTGCCCTAAAACCTGAGAAAGAGAATCCAGGAATTCAAGTTTCACATGCATATATTTGCACATGGGTGTATTTCAAGGGTTCATAGCTTTCACAGTATTCTACTCTGGCTTCAAAGAGGATAAACTCAGCCAGTTTGAATTCCTTCCATGGAAATCTATCCACTACTGTGATTAGTTCAACTCTTCTGTAACCATTATTATTTACAGTAGTGGGGATTGAACCCAGGGCCTTTGCACTGAGCAATATCCCTGGCCTTTTTTATTCTTTATTTTCGGACTGGGTCTTGCTAAGTTGAAGTTACCTAAATTAAGCTGGGCTCAACCTTATCTGTCCTAGTTTCCTAGTGAGCAGGGATTATAGGAATATGCTACCTCATCCAGCTAATTTTATTATTTTTAATCAAAGTACAAGAGCGTCCTCATGTGGACTAAATTGGAACTCTTCAGAACCTCCCACATAATATAATGTTATGGCTCCAATGTACTTAATTGACTGTTTCATAACTTCTCAGCAGGATTGCTGTGCTTTATGCGACAGTCACCTTGTCATGAAGAACAAGACATAGCTCTGGGCCTTTGCCAACCCTGCTCTCAACTTTCCCCTGCCCACTACTCTATACTAGACACACGACCTTCTCTCGATGTTTTCCCTTGCTCACTTGGTGTACCTGTTGCTCACCACCGATAGACTATACCATATGAATACTTCTGAATACTTTTTTTCACTTAGCAAATTATTTCTGAGTCCACTATAAATACTCAAAGTTACTATGGAAGAGATCTCAATAAATCTTTACTAAGGCCTATCACTATACTGTATATTTGGGGTGATGGAAAGACAAATAGGACATATTTCTTACTTCTGAAGAGTCTTTAAAATCATTCTACTATTCAGTATTTTTTCCTATTTGGTTTTTCTCTCCAATAGCTATAAATCCTTAAATACCAGGATCACCATGTATTTCATTTGTGTTCCTCTATTTAGCATATTAACGAGTGTACCATAGGTACTCAACACAGACTGGTTGAATGGGAAATTTAGAAGGATCAAAGATAAAAATTATGGTGTGGACCTTCTGGGTAACTAAGAATTCCATTAACAATTCTTTACTGTAAGTATAAATTTTCATAATATCCCAAAACCATGTAATTTATTCCATGTCATTTCTAAAAGTTGATGCACTAGAAGTACGACAACAAAGAATATTTTTCTTGGCATCTTTAAATGCTTAGTCCTTATTAGGTATACTAGCAACAGCAGAAGATTCAATTACTCAGCATGAAATCAACTCTAATTAATTACTTGTGTTAGGAAACTTCATAAATCCTATACATGTATTAGCATATTGAATTTTATTTTCTTTATTTTTTTCAGCTTTAATTGAGTTTATTGGTACATTTTAGGGATACAGTACAGTTACATTCATTGTTGGGATCTTGTACCTCTACATGACAGGTCTTGGTTCTCATTTTTTCCCCTTGTCCCTGCCCTCCCTTCACCTCCTCCTCCCCACCCCATCTACAAACACTTTATTTTCATCTTTTCATTCTCTCACGTTTTTTTTTCTTTTCCCTTATTACCCTTCCCCTACCCATCCCACCTTCCCTACACCTTTAGCTCCTTTTTGAATTTTATTTTGAGTTAGATAAAAAATAAACAGATATGGTATACATGTTTAAAAAAACCCAAAAGAGTAAATAAATTTTAATACCTTAAATTTTGAGATATATGTGTGTGTGTATATCTACACACACACACACACACACACACACACACACACATAAACCTATATATAAGTGAATGCTTAATTACAGCCCCAAAATATTTTTTTACCTTTGAATTAAGTATATTTAAACATCTACTGCTAAGATTAAATTAGTAGATACATTAACAAACTCCAATATTATATTCAGCTATTTAGAATAACTGAAATTTTAAAGAAAGTCATTAACAATGTAAAAAACACATCCTTACTTCAATCATGGTTTTCTATTGATGGGAAGCTTGTGATGGTTTTAAATATTGCATGTAGCCCAAACCTTTACTTTCTCCAGTGACTCTGTTCTTAATAATGCTGCAATACTCAATGTCTCCATACACCTATAAAAGTTAAAAGACAGGATCTTAGGGAACTCAATTTTTTTTTTCCCATGAAGTTTGCTGGTACACTTAAAGCAAACAATACAGTCACATTTATCATTGGGATCTTGTACCTTTACATGATATATCTTGGTAGGGAACTCAAATTTAATGGTTGAAGAAAATATTTCAGAACTAACTTTAAATGTATGGTTATTCATGCCTTGTGGCCATTAGGGTGGTGTGTCAGTTTGATTGGCTTTGAGATATACCTGGGGGATTGGGAGAGCACACTTCCGGGTGTGTCTGAGTCAAGGAGGGATGGCCTTGGGGTCCAGGTCTAGCCCCTTTCCCCTTCTGCCCTGGCACTGTTCCCTGCTGTGGTTCCTGGTTGTCATGAAGTAAAAAGCTTTGCTCCACTACACTCCCTGCCATGACGTTCCTGCCTTGGAAGCAGCCAAAATCAGTGGTATGAATATTGGTAAAGTGAGAGCCTAATCAAACCTCCCTTCCTTTAAGTTTTGGGTGGCAAGTATTGTGCCTAGTGATGGTGAAGTTGACTACTATAGAAAATGATGCCAAGAATGGGGTCATCACTGTGACTCTACCTGACAATGTCCTTTAGAGGCCTTTCAAACTGGTTTGAGGATTTTAGAGAGGTTTAGAGATACGGACTACAGAAGTCATAGAATGCTATAAACAGAGCCTAATGGATGTTTCTGGACAGTGCTCAGAGGAAAAGAAAAGTGATTGGAATGCATCCAATAAAGATCAGGTTTAGTTTTCAGATGGGAACAGATGTCAATTGGCAGGTGGCAGGTGTAGAGGACATGTGTATTATGCTCTGAAAGAAAAGTTTTCCGCATTTTGCCAATGTCCTGAAACTTTGTAAAACAGAGTTTAAAGGGGAGGAAATTTCAAGACAGCTCAACATTCAGGCTGTGGCATGGCTGATGTTAGCCAGATTTACAGTAAGAACCAGGGGCAAAAGGCTGAACAGAAATATTTTAAAAACTTAAATTTTACCGCAAAAGGAACCACAGTAAACTTGGGGCCAAAAGGAAGTGTGGCTGCTGAAGAGATTAGCACCATTAAAAGATACCAACTACTTTTACAGGGACAAGAAGATGCCTTGTAGGATATCAGGAATCAGCAAGACCCTACGCATCACAAACTTAAGAATGCAACTGCTAACCTTCCGTTTAAAAAGAGAATCTCTGGGCCCCCTTCTCAAGAAAGATCCGGTAGGAAATTTGTTCCCCAGGAATCCTTCTGTGCTCAGCCATCCAGGCTGTCAGAGATTGCTGCAGCCAGGATCCAAGAGGGTCTGGCTACTGGTCCCACTAGCAGCAGTCCTTTGCGACACTCCCATGATGGTAGTTGTATTGGCATGCAGAATGAAGAGTTGTGCAGTGGAAGAGGCTTCCCCTCAGATTTCAAAGGAAGGCCAGAGAGATCAGGCAAGGAGCTCCTGAGAGGGCAGTGCATGAAGCTGTGGGAATGAAACTGAAGGTGCAATGGAGAACCCGGGAAGTTGGAGGTGCCATAACACGGAATGTCCGGCAAGACAAGCTGTAGAGCTTGAGTGGAACCAGCCCAAGACAGAGTCTGTGTGAGCTGCAACTGCCACAGGAAACGCGGCTGCCAAAACCCTCTGTAACTCACATTTTACCACCATGTGCTGAGAGACCCTACTAAGCTAAAGTGATTCCATGTTGGCTGGCTAATAGCCCCAGAGATTGTTATGTACCCCCTGTAAGATATCTGATAACTCTCCCTTTGCAGCTGCGAGACAGCCCTGATCTTTGTTTGTAACCTTTACTGAATAACTTTGTAATCTTAAGTAAGTTCCTAGTCTCAACTGCGATTAATGTAAATTAGCAGCCTTTAGTAGTTCTGGGTAAATAGATACATATGGTTTCACTCCTTGTCTGACCAGAAGGAATGTTTTGAAAACCTTGGGATATTCTGTAAGCATCTTGAGTATAGACCCCCACCCTGACTATCCCCTTATAAAAAGGACCTCAGTTCCTGAGCTGGTGCCTCTCTGAGCTACTTGGCTCCGGGAGTGCCGTCTGGCCAGACTAGTAAAGGTCTGCTCCCTTTCCAAAGTGTCCAGTATGTTCCTTCCCGGGTGAATCTTGTGGCAGTCGAGCTCTTTGGAGTGGTAAAGTCGAGCTTCTCGGAGAGGTAAGTAAGGCCCTTGGTCTTACATTTTGGAAGCCCTCGGTGGCTGTTGAGCTCCTTGGAGTGGTAGTGAGGCCTTAGGTCTTACAGTGCCAATGCCAGATATGGAACTATAGGGCTTAATGTTTGTCCTGCTGAGTTTCAGTCTTGATTTAGTCCAATTATTTTCTGTCTCCAACTCCTCCCTTTTGGAATGGAAATGTTTTCCCTGTGCCATTGTACTTTAGGATTATGCAACTTGTTTTTTAGTTTTACAGAGCTTTACAACTTCAGAATTTGTCTTGAGTCTCAGGAAAGAGTTCGAACTTGACTTTCAAAAAAATGCTGGAATTGTTGAGACTTTGGGGAAGGGATTTTTGTCTCTGGGTGTATGCAGTGTATTAAGTTAGGCAGAACTATAAACTTGCTAATGTCTTTATTTGGAGATTAGTTTGACAAGGGGTGTGATATGGTGGTAAGAATGATGCATCAACTTGATTGGCTTTGGGAACCATCCTGGGGACTATGAGAACACACTTTTGTGTGTGTCTGGGTGGATCACGAAGACATGGCCTTGGGGGTCTACGTCTAGCCCTTCCCTTTTCCTTTCTGTCTCTGTTCCCTTGTTATGGTTCCCATCCACTAGAACTAAGCAGCTTTGCTCCACCACACCCTCTTGCCATGTTATTTCTGCCTTACAGCCAGCGGACCATTGACTAAATCCCTTAAAACAGCCAAAAATGAAAGCTTTCCTCCTTTAAATTGTGGGTGCATTGTATCTAATGATGGGAAAGCTGACTAATACATTCCTTTTTTTTTTTGCAAACAAAGAAATCCTTCAAGGATACAAAGATTTTTTTTATTGTTTATTTTATAGTCAAGGAAGCTGAGCCTTTTGAGCCTTAGAGAAATCAAGTCACTTGCACAAGTCACAAAGGAACTAAGGCACAGAGAGAAAAAACTTGTACACAGTCTGGATAGTCGCAATGTCTTACTAAGTAGTAGCTAAGAGCAGAGTTTCTGCAACTGGGCTTTCTAGACTGAAGCCTTTGCAGGTACTTATTAATTTGGCAGTTCATTTATTTTACCTGTGCTGCTCTCTTTATCTGTTAAATGTGGCCTATCTCATTGTGATGCTTTAAGAATTAAATAAACTAAAAAATATTAAGTGCTTATAAAGAGTCTGGGATACAAAGAAGTAAAAGCAGTAAATAAATATATGAAAAAATGTCCAACATCACTGGTCATTCAAGAGATGAAGATGAAAACAACATTGAGATTCCACCTCACCCCAGAAAAAATGGCTGCTATCAAGAAATCAACCAATAACAAATGTTGGCAGGGCTGTGGGGAGAAAGGAACCCTTTTCCATTGTTGGCAGGAATGCAGACTGGTGCAACCACTGTGAAAATCAATATGGAGATACCTCAAAGAACTAGGACTAGAGGTTCCATTTGACCCAGTTATTCCTCTCCTGGGTATCTTCCCAAAAGAATTAAAAGAATCATACCACAGTGATATATGTGTACCCATGTTTATAGCAGCGCAGTTTTTGTCATAGCTAAAACTTGGAAACAGACCAATTGCCCATCAGTTGAAGACTGGATAAAGAAGATGTGGTTTTTCTATAAAATGGAATACTACTCAGCCACAAAGAATGAGAAACTAGAGTCCCTCATATACTCTGAAGTGAAATAAGTAAGACACATGAGTAAATACTGAGTAGTTTCTCTGGTATGAAAAACTAAAAGTGTAAATAAGATCCAAATTCCATAACTGACAATGTAAAATAGGAAGAAAAGGGCTAAAGGTGTAGGGGAAGTGGGAAGGGTAGGAGAAAGGAAAGAAGGGAAAAGAAAAAATATGAGAAAATGCAAAAATGGAAACAAAGTTTTCGTAAATAGGGAAAGGTGGAGGGGGTGAAGGGGGGTCAGGGACAAGGGGAAAAAATGAGAACCAAGATCTGCCATGTAAAGGTACAGGATCCCAATGACGAATGTAACTGTACTGTATACTTAAAAAGGACCAATAAACTCAATGAAAAAGAAAGTCTAGGACATATTAAACACTGAGACATTAGCTATAATTGTTTTCTAACAGGAACATAAATTACTGTACATTCTTTTGGAGGAAAGCAAGTTAAAGCACATCTCGAAATCACTCAAAATGTTAATAATCTTGGGAAATGTGCACTGATGTTTATTTTTAATGTTGGATGAAATCTAGATAGAAATTCTTGGCATTTATCATTTTATAAATTTCTCATGTAATCAATAAATAACCTAATTACCACATATTAGATGTGTCTTATTTGCTACTCAGAAAAAGATTAAAAGTTATAAATACAAAAGGAAAACATTTTTTCTTACTATAAGAGAAAGTATGGAACATATATTTTTGGTATGTTATTTTTGAAGCACTTTATTCAACTCTCACATGGGACAGGACAGAGGAGTTTGAAAATTACTTTTTGCTGCTTTTTTCTTATCTTTGCTTCTTGCCCACTTGATTTATAGTACTGGGAGGATACACAGAAAACTTTTAAAAAAGTATTACTCAGGGCCGGGGATTTAGCTCAGCGGTTTGGTGGCCTGCCTTGCAAGTGCAAGGACCCGAGTTCAATCCCTGGTACCAAAAAAAAAAAAGTATTACTCAGGGCCGGGGATTTAGCTCAGCGGTTTGGTGGCCTGCCTTGCAAGTGCAAGGACCCGAGTTCAATCCCTGGTACCAAAAAAAAAAAAGTATTACTCAGGGCCGGGGATTTAGCTCAGCGGTTTGGTGGCCTGCCTTGCAAGTGCAAGGACCCGAGTTCAATCCCTGGTACCAAAAAAAAAAAAGTATTACTCAGGGCCGGGGATTTAGCTCAGCGGTTTGGTGGCCTGCCTTGCAAGTGCAAGGACCCGAGTTCAATCCCTGGTACCAAAAAAAAAAAAGTATTACTCAGGGCCGGGGATTTAGCTCAGCGGTTTGGTGGCCTGCCTTGCAAGTGCAAGGACCCGAGTTCAATCCCTGGTACCAAAAAAAAAAAAGTATTACTCAGGGCCGGGGATTTAGCTCAGCGGTTTGGTGGCCTGCCTTGCAAGTGCAAGGACCCGAGTTCAATCCCTGGTACCAAAAAAAAAAAAGTATTACTCAGGGCCGGGGATTTAGCTCAGCGGTTTGGTGGCCTGCCTTGCAAGTGCAAGGACCCGAGTTCAATCCCTGGTACCAAAAAAAAAAAAGTATTACTCAGGGCCGGGGATTTAGCTCAGCGGTTTGGTGGCCTGCCTTGCAAGTGCAAGGACCCGAGTTCAATCCCTGGTACCAAAAAAAAAAAAGTATTACTCAGAACAATGCAAATATTTTTTAAACCAATTTTTTGGTAGTTAGTTTATCCTGGGCCTTGATAAAAGTCAATAGCTAAAAGCCTTTAAAAATGATCTTCAAATTTCATTTTGTGTGCTCTATATTTAGAGCTGTCATTTTTTCCTTAAATATAACTCCTTCAGAGGCCCAATTTTAGGGCAAAAGTACATCAAATGTTAAGTCTTTCTGGAAGAGACTGAAACAAAAACAAACAAAAGCTTTTCTATGACTGAGTACAAAGTCAACATACCATAAGCCCAGGTTACATATTACATAGTACAGCTCATATGCTCAGGCCCACCTGACTGGCCTCTACGTGAGAGTTCATGGAGGAGAATGCTAAGAAAGTACATTGAAATTTTAAAGATCAAAAGTAGGATCTGGACTCAGTGGATTTAAATCTTAGCTCTACCAGCTATTAGCTGTGTGACCTTACTTACAACTCACTTACTGAACTTTGCACTTCATTTTTCTGAATCTATATTTTCACGGTAAAGTCTAGCAAGGGGTAAACATCACTACTATTTCCCAGTTTCTAATAACAGTATAGCCTTCAATGACTGAGTCCTCACAGATGCTAGGTGATTAGAAAACATAAATACCTTAAATTTTTCCCTCAGATCTTCTTCTGTGTGGGATTTTGGTATCATAACAAAGATTCTTGTAAGTCCTTCATCTTTAACATCTCAGTGACTTCCAGACGATCTGGACTGAGCATTGAAAACCTAAGAAACACACAAAATCCCCCAAACAATATCAACTGTTTTCCTATTCCTTAAGTATTCTTAACAATTTTATGTATGTAATTCATGTTAGGTTAAAATGCAATGTGAAAGGGTCTTATGAAAACCTTTTTTCCCCCAAAATAAACTTTAATGGAATGACATTTTTTATACAATGCTAATCTCTGCTTCTCTTCTGAATACACTTCTCATTTTTCATCAGAAAGGGGAAGTCACTGCGTTTAAAAACAATGTGTATTTTGCAGTTCTCGGCAAAGTTCAGTAAGTGTCCACTATATATTTGATGGCTATTAAAATATTACTTTTATCTTACTTGTTCTATCAGATACTAAATGAAGAATATAAAAATCTGATTATGAATTCCTCTTTTTGGGTTGGTTGGTATTTTTTGGGACAGGGTTTTCCTAAGTTGCCCAGGCTGGCCTTGATCCCCCTCACTCAGCCTTCTGATTACAAGTGTGTAGCACTGCAGCTGATCCGCATCTTTTTCTTTTTAATTGCAGTATGTCAATAACCTTTCACATATTTTGAAGCTCTTACTGGCTGAATAGACACATGAGGTTACTGGATATTTTTAAAATGAGACTTTTATTCTTATGAAATCACTCTATATGTTAAAATTTCAGGTGCTGAGGTCCATCTGATTTGACAGCAGGCCAGCTTTTCTATCATTTTATTTTTAACCACTCAGTACCTTTGTATTTAAAGCAGTCATTTTGTTGGGTCTTGTTTTTGTTTCAGTCATGTTGTATAGTCTTTTCCTTTTAGTGTTTAGTTCGTTTACATGTAATGTAATTATTAGTATGGCTGGGTTTTAGTTTAGGTAGTCATATTTTTGTTTTTTAATATTAACTTTTAGAAAAAGAGATCACAACCATATCCTGATTCGTCTCAGTAACTATCCAAAGTGATTCCATATGTGAACAGAAGAGGCACAGGATGATTTTTCTAATGTTTGTTAATTTAGTTGTATTGAAACTTTGTGATACCAGAGTACTCTGAACTTAATTTGCTTTGTAGTAGTGATTTTATTTAATTTTTAAACTAGTTTTATACTACTCCAGAGGAATGTTCCAATCTGTGACTAAGATCATGAACTTGTTTGTTCAGCTGTAAGCACAGTAAGTTTAACAGCTTGGTTTTTTTGTCACTTGAATATTGCACAATTAATTACATCACCATACAAACAAGAACCCCTGAGGTTCTGTGTGGATACGTGCATGTTTCCTTTAAAGGGTGGCACTCTATCAATGAAATACATTAAAGCTTGGACTATGGAATTCCAGAGTAAGGAGGCACCAACCCAAAAGGACACTGGACTTAAAAATCATGTATAATTTTTTAAGTGCAGAAAAAAAGAAAATTTTAAAGCCACAAGAAAAGGACATTACTTTTTGAAGGAAACAACCTGTCATAGAGTTGGGGACACATCCTTAGAGAAGTGATGGTGAACCTTTTAGAGCTTTCAATGGTAATAGCCAGCTGCAGGATGTACACCATAGGTTCGCTACCACTGCCTTAGAGTTTACCTCATTATTCCTTCAATAACCTGTATTATTCTTAGCACTGTTGAAGTAGTTTAGTAATAGAGGAACTCAGAAATAGACCACTAGAAAATTAATCTACTGGATGTACCAATATAATGAATCATCAGTAGGAAAATGTAGAAACTGGAAGATCTAAGAATATGTATAGATACTATAGAGAAAAAACAGGAGCCTGGCATGTGATGAGACTGGAGGTGCCATTAGATCACAAATTTCTGAACGTTAGAGGACTGAAATGCCTAAAATCTCTAATAAAGGATAGCATCTATGTAGAACATAAGAATAACTTCCTAATGGAACATTTTTCCCTCACATATTTTTATCTTCTTAGACCACAAACACTCACAGGTGCTACATAAGAACTATTTTTGCAAAGATAAAACTAAGATTTCCCCCTTCTATTTTCTAGGTTTACCCTTTTTCTTTGGGCAACACAGCTGGTTAAGAAAAACTTTTACTTGAACAATCTTCTGGCTACAGTTGGGGAGGTAATATTTTTGTCTTGAGATTCTTTGAACTTTGCAAAAACAAAGTACATGAGAAAAACAGAAGCTAAATTTATTTCACTGAGAAAAAGAAAAGCAGCTATGTTGCACCTGGTGAGCCTAGAATGGCTGGCTAGATACTACAGTGAAATAAATTTCTGGCTGAAAGAGTAGGAAAAAAAATGAAAAAGAGAAATTGTCTTTTGCAAGAAATACTTTTACTGTAGTTAAGAGTGCACATGTTTCAGTGTTGAGACTTTAATTTCTCTTGTAGGAATCTATCATGGAAAGGGGGTTTCAAATGTGAGGCATTTTTTTGTTTGCCCACTTGGACTCTGAAATCCTGTTACACTCAAAAGTACAAAAATTCATTCCAGGGACAGGGATTTAGCTCAGTGGTTCTGCTACCTGCTTTACCATTCCATTAAGGGCATAACTGGAAAAAAATGAAAATTATCAATGCAGTGCAGGAGCCAGCAAACTACAGCTCTGTTTTTGGTTTAACATATAAAAATTAGTTTGACATTTTTAAAGGGCTGTCGAAAGTAATCAAACAGGATATGTCAGAGACCCTGGGCCCCGAAGTGTAAAATATTTACCATGTGATCTTTTATTGAAAAAGTTCATCAACTTCTGATCTAGGATCCTAAAATTAATTGTTATACCTTGTTCTGAGCTACTTCAGAGGGTTGAGGAGTTGATCATAAATTTATTTTTCTCTCCGCTGTATCACTAATACTTCACACATGAGACTGCCTTGTATTTTTGTTATTGTCTACTGGCTTGGAGGTACAGGCAAGACCTCCAGAGACTTAAATACCTGAGACTTTCACTTATAAGTCCCTATTTATATTCTTCTCAATTCAGTAAAGGAGGGAAGTGAAGATAAAGAAACAATTTTTACAGAAAGCTCCAACAGAATTACGTACACAGCACTATTTCTAGACTACAGGTGAAGAGTAAAATTTAATCCATTGCCAGATTCTCAGAATGGGGTCCTGATTTGAAGGATCACCAAGTAAGGAAGAAGTGACATCTTGACTACGACACACCAGTAATAAGCCGAAATTCTGGGCTTACCTTGTGTCAGGCACTGTGCTAGAAAGACAGGAAGTGAACAAAACCCCGCCAATGACCACTGCCGCCAAGTATTATCTTAATATATAAATAAATAAAGAAATGTGATAAATACCGCTAGACTCAGTTAAGATTATGCAAAGACGCATTTAATAATGATACAAACCCCACACTGTGTCGTCGCAATGATTTGGCACCTATTGGGGCAGTTTACTTTGCACTACTTTCAAACAAAAGCGACGGTTACTACAGGACCGATGATCAAATATATGGTATGCAAATTTACACAGAGCTTATTTAAAATAATTTTTAATAGGGGGTGAAGGGAGGGCAGAGGTAAGGGGAAAAAAATGAGAATCAAGACTTGCCATGTAGGTACATGATCTATTGGGGCAGTTTACTTTGCACTACTTTCAAACAAAAGCGACGGTTACTACAGGACCGATGATCAAATATATGGTATGCAAATTTACACAGAGCTTATTTAAAATAATTTTTAGGAGGGGGTGAAGGGAGGGCAGAGGTAAGGGGAAAAAAATGAGAATCAAGACTTGCCATGTAAAGGTACATGATCCCAACAATGAATGTAACTGTACTGTATCCCTAAATGTACCAATAAACTCAATAAAAAAAAAATAAATAAATAAATAAATTCAAATTAAAATAATTTTTAAAATCACAAGAGTGTGATGCATGTGTAATAGCCACTTTAATCACCTGAACATAATATTACACACATGCATACTTTTTTCTGGTCCTAGTAAAAGGCCCAACATCCAAGGGCCACAGTTTAACGTGAGCACTTTAGTCAAATTGTGAAGTCCCACATCTACCTGAGGGAAAGCAAGAGTTATCATTTTTTATGCGTGGTAAACCGCAGAGTCTAAGGGAGGAGGGTTGAGGAAGTCCTCACGGCAGGCCGGGGGAATGGGCTGTGGACTCCAGAACTGCCAGGAACCACAGGG